ACCACAGTTTCACTCTGCAGTGTCAGAATAACATGAAACAAATTTTACGAAAAGAAACCAATTTTACGTAGGAACCTGTCATTATTTATGGCGGAGGATGGCACGGAAGAGAAATGTTTTTCTTGGCAAAAAATTTCATTGATGATCCAACCAAGTCAAAAATTTTTTTACCCAACCTCGATTATCAATTAAAAAATAAATACCTATCCCTGGCCAAAAACTTTACAAAAGGATACTATTCAGTTGCCACATATGTATCCTTTACACCACTTCGGGAGCACGAGTTTGATAACTGCCTGTGCAGCTTTCTGCAGTCTAAAGTTTCATGTTGTCTGCACATGTAACTTCTTTGGAGACACCATTTGCCTCCTGACAAATCGGAAAATGATCAAGCTAGTGACTCTGATTGATTGATTTATATATTGTACTAACATACGTATGACTGTTGATATTGCTTTTTAGTCCCCAACCTTTTACTTACTACAAATTTAGTTTGCCCAACTCTTTTCTCTTCGGTGCCACACCCCGTCATAAATGACTAGTCTAGTCCCTAACCCACAACCTACCTCTCGAATAATCAGCGCGGAGATTCCAACTCAGGGCGTTAAAATGTGGAAATTGCCACGAGTATAAAATTCCGCCAAGGATAAAAGCTCCTGGATCTAACGTTCCTGTACAGGCAGTCCAGCCCATGAGAGGAGGCAATGCTCCAACAACCGAGCCAACCCAGGTATTCGCTATACTCAGACGTTTTAACGGCGTGTACACAGTCGTGTATAAAATTAGTGTTGATGCCCCTGAAAATACAAGATTTTAACAGATTATGTTTTGTTTCTGAACTATATACAAGCCATCTGTGAGGGGTATATCTGTATAGGATTGGTCACGTGACAAGAGAGAGCATGCTGATAGCTTAGCATCTGGACCGAAAGTGGTGCATATTCCCGTGCGTAACACAAATAATACAAAATTTGCAAATTTCGTAGGGCTATATTTTCCTCATTTTACAACATTTCGCAACGAAACTTTGCAATTTTACTAATTTTAACATGCTCTTTCTAGCTGTGGTGATGCATTTTGCTCTGCTTGCCGAGATCAAAATTTAGTCTACAGCTGGAATCATCCGTTCAAAGTTAGTTCAATTGATTGAGGTTGTTAGATGCTGTGAGAGATAGTGATTGATACAGATTGTTTGAGTGTAAACGGGAGAGAACGACCGAAATTAACGATAGCAGTGGTCTGTCTATATATGTAACGATTGTTAAAAAAGAAATAGTAATATACCGGATAGTATATAGACTATTGAGAACCAGCGGAGGAATAAAATCTCACCGAAGAGAATTTAATACCAGGATGCAGCTCAACCTGATCAAGTACACGCGTAAAAAACCCCCAAGTTGTTACAGGTCTGCAAACAAGTTGTTACAAATCTGTTCACAAGCTGTCAACAAGTTGTGTTCGCACTGCTTGTAATAAGTTTGAAACACGCTGCTAACACGTTTGATGGACTTGTAGCAAAGTTGTTCTAACAAGTCTGATACAGTCATGATATAACAAGAATGTTACAAGGTTGATGACACAAGATTGTAACAATATTGTTATATCATGACTGTATCGGACTTGTTGCATGGAACAACCTTGCAACAAGTCTGATAATATCAACAAGGTTGTTACAAGTTGTTAACAGTTTGTTCCAAACTTGTTGACAACTTGGCAAAAGCAGTGCGAACACAACTTGTTGGCAGACTTGCTACAAGATATGAGACTTTTGCGTGTGTAGAAGGCTTACTAAGGGCACCTCTGAATGCCACCATGTGATTCATGTCTGATCACGGAGTACAGCTGCGATGGAAGGGCTGGTTTGTGGTATTTCCTAACTCACCCTGTCAACATTCCCTAATCCCTCTGCATCGGAGGAAACGGGAGTACCCGGTAAAAACCCACGACTTTCGGTACTTGACTGTCTCTTCACATGCATATAAGTGTCATAAGTCCGCAACGAGAATCGAACCCACGATTTCCGAGGTGAAAGGGGCGTGCTGTGACGATTACGCCATCAAAGCCTTCGCCCGAACGTTGAAGTACTTCAAGGTAGTTCAGACACAAACCGAAGCAGTTTATTGTAGTACTAGAATACTACCTACACTGGGCCACCACGTTTGAGATATATTTTTCAGGTAGTTCAGACTTCAGACACAAACAACGACAGCTTATTGTAGAATACTATACCTATACACTGGACCACCACGTTTGAGATTCTTTTTCAGGTAGTTCAGACACAAACCACGGCAGCTGATTGTAGAATACTACCTACACTGGACCACCACGTTTGAAATTTCTTTTTCAGGTAGTTCAGACACAAACCACGGCAGCTGATTGTAGAATACTACCTACACTGGACCACCACGTTTGAGATATCTTTTTCAGGTAGTTCAGACACAAACCACGGCAGCTTATTGTAGAATAATACCTACACTGGACCACCACGTTTGAGATATCTTTTTCAGGTAGTTCAGACACAAACCGCGACAGCTTATTGTAGAATACTATCTACACTGGACCAAATTCAGACACAAACCACGACAGCTTATTATTGTAGAATACCACTTACAACGTGCACTGGTGAGTGGTGACTGGACCTCCACCTTTGAGATATATTTTTCAGGTAGTTCAGACACAAACCACGGCAGCTTATTATTGTAGAATATACTACCTAAACTGAACCAACACTTCTAGTGTTTAACTATCTCTCTCTAGCTCTCTACATACTTTCCAACAAAATTGAAAAGTGGCAACTCTTCATTACAGTAAATTTTTCAAGCTAATGGAAATTAAGCGCTGTCTGAAATGTGTGAACTACTGTATAATCTCCAATATATATTATATCTGACATGAAGACATCTACTGTATGAGAATTATTACGAACCTAATAGAGCAGTTAATCCATTGACTTGAGTGAGAAGTATTGTCAAGCCTGAAGCACCCGCAGCCACACCAAACATCAAGGCATGCGAGGAACTATCCAAATATAGAAATATAATAGAACGATAAACTTTGGGGACAACCTAGACTAGGTTCAAGTCCGTCTCTCAAGGGGTTGAAAATAGCGATGCACGCGAGCAGTCAGAAAAGGCCCGAAAATATGAGAGAAAAGTAAGGAGAGACGGACTTGGATACCCAACCTCGTTCCCAGGTTCGAGGAACGTAGTGGAAAGCCTGGGTACGAGGTTGTTGGAAACCCTGCAAGCGCGCCAAATTTTACCGTCGGATTTTTCCTACGGAGGCGTGGCTTGGGAGTTGAGAACAACAACACATTTTCGCGCCAATTTTGCAAGTAACATTCGAAATGCTGCAAATGTCCCAAGTCCGTCTCTCCCTACTTTTCTCCTGAGAATGACTTGAACCAAGTCCAGGGACAACCATGAAACTACAACAATTTAAATTTTGGCCATCATTACCTCATCAGACCTCGAACCAAAACTCGATTTTTTGTGCGAGACATCTGCGAATCAAATGGAACTTCCAGCCACTACAAGATTGAAAAGACTATTCATATAGACATGGCTGGGAGCTGTTGCCGCACGCTAAATACTTTTAAATAGTTGCGAGGGATGAACCAGGCGGGAATCATAATCTAATAATAAATATCAATGCCCAGCATAATGTCCGTATAATAATAGCCATAACAAAGAGAAATTTTCATAAATTTAATATTTACAGAACTGCAAGACGAAACGTTAGGGACCGGTCATAAAGTAACTGCTAGGGTGGGCTGGAGTGATTTGGGATGGGCCATCGAAAATTTTTGGGCAGTTTCGATGGGCCGCCAATTTTTTTGTGTGTCCACGGTTGGGCCACAGAATACTACACAGAAGTCCATCTCCATTGTTTTTTGCGTAAGCGTTATTCGTCATGATTCGTCACTCAGCAAGTACCGTAAACAGAAGCAATCACCCCCCTGGACGTTCGCCATTTTTAGCATTTCCAGGGGGGACTGCTTCTGTTTACGGTACGTGCTGAGTGACGAATCATGACGAATAGCGCTTACACTAAAAACAATGGAGATGGACTTCTGTGTAGTATTCTGTGGTTGGGCCATCAAACAAAAACCAATGCATGTCTACTTCAAAAAATAAAGATATTAATAATAAAAGTAAACAAAACTATCCAAATGATCAAATGCAAATGATGCTATTGAAGCCAGTACTTTGTTTATACAACAAGAAGTGGTCGAATCACAGCAAATACAAGTATCGTAATTGGTGATGAATGTGTTGGTCTAGCTTGGTGGGATTATGTATGTCAATACAGTGCCGGTGTATATTTACAATGTTCATACCTGCAAGTTTTTTTTATTATAAAAATGTATTTTCCCAATTCAGATTGGGTGGGTCATGAAAATTTTTTTGTAAGATTAGATGGGCTTTGAAATTTTTATCTACATCCTAAGATGGGTCACCAAACTTATTGGCAAAATTTGCGATTTACCTCCAGCCCACCCTAGCAGTTACTTTATGACCAGTCCCTTAGTTCTGTAAATAATTTACCATGCACTAGCTTTGCCTAGTGCATGGTAAACAGGCTTTACTCAGTACTGTACAATCCAATAGAAGGATCAAACATTTCAGACTTTCACTAGAAATAGTAAAATTCATACTATGGAACTAAATCCATGGTATATGCATACTATTTCTATACTATATCCACAGTATGGAAATTGCAATTAGTATGAAAATTGGATTTCCACACTATTTCCAAC